CATATGAGTCCCAACACCCATAAAAAATTGAAATCCCAACTATACATGATGTCATTCATTTAACTAAAATCTAATTCAAAATTCAAAAATCAACCTTATTAAATATTGATTGATACATTTGGAAACTAAAAACTTAATTCAAAATTCAAAATTCCATCTTATTAAATATGGATACATATATTTGAAAACCAATTATATTAAAATATACAATTAGTTTCTAAGTTTAAGTATTAACATTTAATAAGATGAATTTCTTAATTTTGAATTGGATTTTCATTAAATGAAATGAGGTCATTTAAAGTTGAGATTCCAATTTTCTTTGGAAATTAAAATTGATATACACTTTTCTCCATATATATAGAAGATAATGCATATTAATCTTGACTCTTTAAAAAATTTAGAATTTCAACCTTAAATGACATCGTTTCATTTAATTAAAATTTAATTCAAAATTCATAAATTAATCTATCTTATAAAATATTGATACATGCATTTGAAAACCAAAAACTCAATTCAAAATTTAAAAATCCATTATATTAAATATTTGTATATGAAGTTAGAATCTGATTATATATTTTAATATAATTGATTTTCAAATTCATATATCAACATTTAATATGATAAAGTTTTGAGTTTTAAATTGAACTTTAATTAAATGAAACAACTCATTAAAGCTTCAATTTTTTAAGAAGTTAAAACTGATATATATTATTAACATATAGATATATTCCAAAGAAAATTAAATAAGTTGGTTTACTTGAGATATGTTACTGATTTTTAAAGTTTTTATATTATGAAAATGTATTCTATATTTTAATATATCTTAGATATATGAAGCATAAATTCTGTATATTACTTTACATCTATAATTTTATGGAACAAATTAATGCAGTCAGTGGAAGCCATTGTTCCATGGCCATACAAAGAACAAAAAAATAATGCCGGAGAAACTCCATTCCAAGTGTTCGCTAGAGAACACAAGGATTTATTAAAGGAAGCTGAAGAATGGATGAAGAAAACGGCAGAATCTTCTACAGTCGTAGGTGCACTCATCATAACTATTATGTTTGCCGCGGCTTTTACTGTTCCCGGTGGGAATGATCAAAATACTGGCTTTCCCATATTTTTGAACTCAACGGGAGAATCTTCTACACTGGTACCTTACACGGTATTTATGGTATCAGATGCAATTTCTCTTTTTACTGCATCTGGTTCAGTGTTGATGTTTTTGGGGATCCTCACTTCACGTTATGCTTATCAAGATTTTCTAATATCCTTACCCCTTAAGTTGATTGTTGGTTTGTGTTCACTCTTCGTCTCCATTGCAACAATGGCAGTGGCATTTTGTGCTTCTCTTTTTATTATGTTAAAAGGTCGATTGGTGTTCTTCATTCTAATAACTGTGCTTGCTGGCATTGCTTCTGTCATTCTCTTTATGTTGGTGCAGCTTCAACTTGTTTTTGAGATTTATTCTTCGACCTGTAGATCACACATCTTCGGTCCGTCCTTTGCAAGTATACTAGGAAAATATGTCAAGTCGCGGTTATTTATAAGTAGACTGTTCGTAAGAAGGCCGAGAGATAATTAGTTAAGGTTATGTATATATATGTTTTTTATTTTGCCATAACTCAAGTGGTTTGGAGGATTGTAATATTCTATACATGTTGTAGTTACAATGAAAATCTGGTGGATGCACATTGTTTCCGTATTTTATAATTCTGTGTCAAATTCTTCTTTGCTAATATTGTGTTTTCATTGCTGATTCATTCTTCCACACCAATCTACAAATATATGAAATTTTTGTATATTTAATGCCATCGAGAAAACACATCAGGCAGCGCCTAGCCTTATGGCTCAAAGCTGTGGGTTTGAACTCCCTCCTCTCTCCTTAATATACCCAGAAAGAAAAATCCAAAGTGATTCGCATTTAGACCCACTAATTCATTGGTGTGGCTGATATTTTTAGAAAAGGTAATTATATTATTTTTAAAATTCTCCTTAATTACATATCATAATGTGATACCCCAAAAAATTTCTAGGATAAATAAGTGAGTTAGGGACTAATTTGTGAGGAAATATTATTAGTGTACCTAATGGCAATTTGTGTTAAAGTTGAGGGACTTAAAGAGGGAGAATTTGGATAAGGATCAGTTATTTTTCTCCTTTTCCTCTTTTTTTCTCCAGCCCGATTCTGCTCTTCTTCTTCTTCTCCCTGCACCAAACAAGAAGACCCAACCGACCCACACCTCCCCTTGGAAGAAACCGGTAAAGCTTGATGAGTTTTGCCTTTCTTTTCTTGTTCAAGAACAAGATTTGAGCTTAGAAACCTCCCCCCCTGCAGAGAAAATTTCGGATCTGCCTTGCTCTACTCCTCACCGTCGGCTGCTCTTGCTTTGTGGGTGTGATTTGCTCCGGTTTCTGATAAGAAACAGCCATGAATCTCCCTTCTCCAGCTTTAATTGCCTTGGGTTTACTCTAATTTTGTATTGTTCCTTCAATTTTTGGTAATCCCGTGAGTCCCTGCAGAATTGCTGTCGGCTTCTCCCCCTGCCAAGTCCGGTTCTGCAGCTAGAAAATTCTGGTATGTTGACAGCTCCTCCAAGCTTGAAATCTCATCAATTGGTTGCTGAATTTTGTTCATTTCTTTGCTGGCTGTGTTGTCCGAATTTTACAGAAAAATGGGGATGAATTTCGGTAGCTTTAAGTGGGTTTTGTTTAATTTAAGTGTAAATTGCTTGAGTTGGCTGCTGTGAGATTTGTAAAGAAAAATCCCGTGAAATTAGCTAGTGTTTTGGTCAATTTTTGGAAGTGCAGTTACTGCTCACTGCGTGGGTACTGTTCACGGCACTGTTTAGGGATACTGTTTACGCACTAATGGTCAACAATTAACCGGGATTAAATAGTTAGTTTGTAATATAAGAATAAATTTGGAGATGGCCGATCATGTAGAGATTGATAGAAATAGCATTGTAATTAGGGGTATTCCTAATGATGATTTCACTTTGAATCCATAGTACGATAATTAATTTTTGGATATTTTGATTAGGTCCTGATCGTTCTGTCAATTTAGCACTGAGATCGAGTCTTCGGTTTCATGCGAGTGAGGTAAGTAAATTATGGTAACGTCCTTCGATTTTAAAAGCATGTTTTGATTTGTTTTTGAAGTGGTGACGGGACTAAACTCGTTTTACACAAGTATGACTAATTTGAAGTGGAATTTTTATGCTTTTCATTAAATTGAGCATGCATACTTGAAATTTAATTGATTGTCCTGATGATTTGAAAGTGATTGGTGAATTATGATTTTTCTGTTAACTTCTACCTGTTTTGTCTTCGATGTGGTCATGTTATTAGTGACCCTGCTAGTGGGGGTTAGTGGGGGTTAAACGTTAGCACATGTCGACATATTAGTGATAGAGTCGGTTCGTACGAGTGACCTTGCTAGTGGGGATTATACACCAGCAAATATTGTGCCCGTCAGTGGGAGGTTTATAACACTGGCCATGACTTATAGAGGAGACGTTTATTTCGTTCCCGTATTGTATCCATTTTTCGTGATTACACTTGTTGGCATGTTATAAGTTTAATTAAGGGTACTCCATATTTTACTTACTGAGTTTATCTCATAGTTTTTTCTTATCCACCATTTCAAGAAGCGAAACCGAGGACGGGGAAACCACGGGAAGTGACGAGTTAGAAGGTTAGCCATATTGTAATTGAACAGAGATTTTAAAAATAAATCATGATCTTGTAAACCAGAGTGTATTTGGAGATTTTATGATATCAGAGTAAATTTTAAAGATTTGATCTTCAGATTTTGATGGTATCATACTTTGGTATGATAAGTTCCGAGCCTTGTGCATTTGTGGGATCCTCTCACGAGTGCACAGCGTTTGTCGCACAGCGTTTGTTGCACCTCGAATTTGAGTTCTGGGACGTGACACATAATTATAAATTTATAATGATATTGTAATTATATTATTTTTAAAAAATCTCCTAATTCAATTTTTAAAGAACTAGGCTAAAAACTTATTTTATAATTAATATTTATAAA